TTCTGGAAAATTAGAAAAGACAGAAAGAAAAAAATAATTCTCAAAGCATAAATATCCTCATCAGAAGACCAGATTCTATCTTTCTTTCAATCAAAGGGTGAAAAAAGTGTGGTAGTGAAGTAGATTCCACTCTTATGTTTTGTGGTGCTCTTTTTGACCCCTGCTAACTTGTGAGTCTGTATATTTAAAATATTGAAAATTCATTGACTAGTATGCTGACTTAGCTCCTGGGGAAAAGCTAATATTTCAGGGGTTTTGGTGTAGCCAAGAGATCCAGACTCTCTGTTCCTTCTATCAGTCACTGTCTTTGAATGGAAACACATTTGAAAAAACAACATTATCATCAGACAGCAAATGTGTTTTCAGCAAATGCATCCCCTCTTTTGAACTCTACAAGGACTGCTCACCTGTGTGTAACTTAAGCCTGCTCAAACACGATTTTCCAATAAAACTGCAAACAGAAACCAGAAAGCCACAAGTCTTATTCATTCCCTATAGATTCTGCAGGCAGTTATCTGTGGCAGAGATTCATGTACGTGCTGTCTTGTGCTTTCACTGATGTTCAGCAGAGGCTGTTTGCTGACATCATGGTGTGCATGTATGTTTTTGGTCTCCTCTGCGTGCTGTTAACTGCATTCTAAAAACATGTTAACTGAAAGAAAACATAATTTCTTAAAGCTGGATAATGGATCATCTGGAGCAGTTTATGTGAATGTGCTCATTGTACGACGATGAAACATAAAAAACAAAACTACATAAAATGAATGAATAAACTGCTACTTCTCCTCGACTCCACCATTCTTTGGTTCTATTCAAATACCAGACAGGTTAGAGGGTAAATGCTGCTGGTACATGTTATGAGCTGGGTGGAGAAATGCAAGCAGCAAAGCAGAAAATGACAATGCAGAAGTGAGTCACAAGCTCCCTTTCCTCCATGTGGGCCATTTGTGATGCAATACCTGTTGGGTGCTGGAGGCAGTGCGTCAGAGGGTGGTGGGCATGCTGCAGGGGTTTTTGATGAGCTGCGGCCCATGTTATTATCAATAGGGCCACTCCTGGAAATGGACAGCAACATGCAACATGACGATGACTCGCAGTTACAGCGACACTATTGGCTGTCAGAGTCAGACACGAGCCAATCCAAGACAGAACAACAGTCAAATCTGCTCTGTGATGTTTGGATAGATCCAGCATTACTTCATCCATTAAAATGTATTGTTATGTGTTACTATGGTATATGATTCTCCTGATAAGGTTTATAACACTTCGGTCATGGCAACAATAACGCTGCTTCAAGTGCTGGAAGACTATGAAGCAAAATGCAGGTATAAGATGCCACCTGGTGGCCAAACAGCATAACAGGAGCTTTTGCTCCAACACAATAGAAACCTGCTGGTTTCTGGTGTGATTATTTAAAATATGCATTTATAACATAGTTAAAATATATATATATATATTTTTTTTTAAAAAGCAGATTTTTTTTAAAACTAAAGACAATGGACATGAGAGGATAAAATAATGTTAAAGAATCACACTGCAACATGAACACATGGCATATTTGGAGACTATATGTGTCAGGAGAAGAAACTGCATTAATGTGCATGCATGCTTTTAACCCACCTCTATTTAGAAGAGGAAAACAAATGGAAACTATTAGAGAATAATATTCAGGAACTGTGGCAGAAGCTACACTGAAGCCTTGTTCGCTCTCACACACCTTCGTCCTCCTGGAGGTTTGCTGCCGTCTGCTGGGAGTTCTTGTTGTTTCTTAACTGGAGTTGAAGACTTGGCCAGCACTGGAGGAACCTTTTGGCCATTCTGTAGGCTGTGACCAAATTTCTCCGCCTGACTGCTGCTCTGACTCATTGAGCTGATGACAGCAGAGAGAGAGAAATGTGTTGAAATGATTGGTCAACTGTCAAAAATACACAGAATTCAGACAAAGACACAAAACAAAATACTGTCATGGCCATAACCTGCAGGATTTGTTTCATCACACAGAAACAGGCGGATCAGTCTCACTGATCTCATTTTATCATTTAGTAGTTCATCATTTTAACCTGAGAGCAGTTCTCTTCTAAGCTGATTTACCTTTACCTAAAGTATCAAAATCAAAAGTGGCTCTCAATTTAAAACTGAACCTTTTAACTCATTTGCAAAAAACAAAACAAAGAAAGCAAATATAGAGCAGTATTCTAACATTTAAGCCTCATTAAGTGCTACTGTGGATTAAGAACTTATTATTTGAAAAACATTGGAACATTTACTTAATGGAGACACCTTAACTAACCTTCTGGCTGTTTTCATGCTGTCATCAGCGGTGCTGATGTCACTAGTCCGGTCATTTTCTCTCCGTTTCAGATCCACGCTCTCTGTGCTCTCCCTCTGTGTCAGCAGGTAAGAAACAGCAAACTGTTAGCTGAACAGCCTCCATGTCCTCTTAAGTGACTTTCAAAAATAACTTGAGCCAGTTAAAAAGTAATGAATTTAGCAATAACTTATACTTATCATACTTATCATATATGCTATTAAAATCCAATGAAGTGCTCTATATGTGGTTGTGGCTTGTTTACAGCCACATACTGTCAGACCAAATTAAATAATGTAATTTTGTGCATGCATCAAGGAGCATCATAAACATATTCATGTATACACTATATTGTAAATTGCACCTTTTTTTTTTTAACCTGAACTCGAAACGAAAAACAAAAATACTTTATTAACAAAACAAAACAAAAAACATGCCACATGCAGGTGTTCTGGCCACTGTTCATATGAGGGTGAATTTATACAGTGTGACAGTACACAGCTCATATTATGATCAATGCGCTATTCACCGATTGCCTCTCCAGCAGTTCCTGTTTACGTTCCCAGTCAGCCAGAGAACGAACGATAGCGTCCTGAGGATCAGTTGGGAGGGAGGAGAGTTCACCTCGACTGGGGGAGGTCAGGGCGGAAGAGCGGGGCGTCAGAGGCGTCACCGTTTCCTCCAGTATCCGACGCTCCTGTTTTAATATGAAAATAGATTAATTTTAAACGATAATTTAGTGGTTTAAACTTCAAATTCACACACACACACACATATTATATGTAATTCAGTTGATATTGTTAAGTAGAAAAACCCATCACAGGTGCTGTCAAGCAAAAAACACACCCACACACACACACCTCCTCGTGGTACTTCCTCTCCTCCTCTGCCACCTCCTTCTGTGCTTTCTCCCACTCCTCCTTCAGTTTCTCCTGCTCACGCTGGTACTTCTCCTGTTACCATGGCAACACAACACATGACATGCAGCACAGCAGAGAGGAAGACTAAACTGTCTGCAGTTGGAAAACAAAGGCAATGCGCAGACATATCCGACATCAACAGAGTACTGAGAGACTTTTCAAAAGGCCAACCAAATGCTAAAAATTCTCTGCTTGTGATAATGTTTTAACTTGGTCCACGAAGGCAGAGAGCTGCAATAACAGGCACACGCTACAACATTTCCATGCAGAATACCCTCATTATGCACTTTAACTATATGAAACTTGATGTACAGACATATGTGAAGGCAAATTTAGCTTCCTATCCACTGCTATGCCTAAAAACAGATTTTATATCTGCTTGTTAGGAACAAAAAGCAAACAAAGGAGACCAAAAGCAGGCAGTGCAGACAAAAGCAGAAAGCATATCATGCAGAAGCTCTCAAACAGTGGGTTCCTACACAATTTTCAAAACTCCATCTAAATGTTCTTTGGTTTGGAGTATGGTTTATAACTGGTTATATCCAATAAAAGCAGAAAAAACACAAACGTATTTTCTCAGATTACCTTTTTAACCTTTTAGAGTTGTGTAAGAACCCCAAAAAGAAGGCGCCATTTAAAGATCAGATATTCAAAAAGAGGAAAATTAAACAAGACGCACAGCAGATCAAGACTGAGCCACATAGACAACACAGACACAAGGAGGCTAGAAGGAAGTAATGAGTACACTGATGCACCAGACATTCATCCATTTCAGCGCATCTCATCTCAAACCATCCTGCAACAACTGGAAAGAAGGGAAATCGGCTTTCGTCACTGCTTCGTCTTTTTTCAAGACAACACTGTAGATGAGCTTGATAAATAATGGACACTGCAACTCCATTAAATGTTGACAAGTGTGCGGACTTGAGATGCACCTGTTATAAATCGAGGAGAGAGAGGGTGACTTGGGCAGCAGCAACAGCAGCAGCTTTGGACAGAGTCCTTGCCTCTGTCTGTGGCTTGAGATGGAGACAGTGAGGGAATAAAACCAAAACAGAGGTTCTTCCACTGCACAAAATCGCCACCTAATGGTTAAAGTGTGCACAGACGCAGCTTGGGGGGGATGGGGGTGAGTTTGCCTTTACAGGAGGATGTGTTCAATACAAAACAAATATGGAGGCAAGCTTTGCGAGCAGCAATGAAATGTGGTTAATACATCCGATTGTAAGCGGAGCAAGTCAGTGACTGTGCAGCTGTGCAGCAGTGTGGTCTGGATTCATGTTTAGTTCCAGTTACAAAAAAAAAAAAAAGCTTTCCAGAAAATCATATTAGAAATAATCTTTAATAGCAAAATTCAGTAACAACATCTGCTTTCCACACCGGCTGCAATTTATTATTATTTTTGTTAAATCACCTCATTCGTAGCAATGAGTCTGAGGTCTCACAATTAAATGTCATTAAATCCTCAGGGGCCGAGACTGACCACAACCTGTCATGTCTTTCCACAAAACTGGTTTGTGCTGCTAAAACACAATATGTCATTATAGCACACTGTAGGTATGTTGTTCTCTATAAGAAAGCTAACCCCTAACTTTGCAGCCTCATGCACCATGCTCGACTCTTTTAGGTATACTGTGTACCTGCAGCATGCGCTCCTGCTCTTGCTGCCACCTTTCCTGACGCTTTCGCTCCTCATCCGGGTCCCAAGACCAGCGGTCTCCCCGCTTGGCCTGGGGTAACACCGGAACTGACACCTGATAGACCCCAACACACACACACACACACACACACACACATATCACCATATACAAATATCCATGCACACATTCACATCCAACCACAACCCATTCACGCACAGATCAACACCAAAGTGCACACACATCCACCACAAAAAAAAAGTAGAAGAAGAGAAGGGAGGAGACAGAAATAGTTGGTCTACCACAACAGCACTACTCCAATGCTAGCCAAAGGACTCCTACTAAGGAGAGAAGAGACAGAGAAAGAGAGAGATGAGCTTAAATGAAAATAAAATAAAAGCAGTCTCAGCCATCGACTACAGCATCATCATCTGGCATGCTACATAAACAGCTTTGTGTGTCCTATAATAATTAGCTGAGGCGCCTAAAATATGACAGTATGTGAGCACTGAATAATAAAACTGAAAGATTCACATGCAGTCATATTAATGGTTTTCTTGCTTTGCGTTTCTGTTAAAGTCTAAAACACCTTTTTTCACTCTTACCTGTTATATTTTGTGTATTCCCTCCCTTCCGCATAATTTTATTTTTACAACATTAAGCTAAACTACTGGTGTACCCATAGTACTGCAGGAGGGGATAAGCAGTAAAAATGTTTTTTGTGAATTTACTCACATTTCCACGGTGATCCTTTTCCGCCTCTTCTGCAGAGAAAGGAAACAGCAGTTAAAGCAAATGAGATATTTGGACAGAGGGGATCAAACTAAGTCACTCGGGTATTGAGGAAAAAGACAACACGCCAAGTGCTGATTTCCTGAGGAGTAAAATGGGCATGAAAGAAAACAAAGACAGAGCTGAGTCCACCAAGAGCACCAATCATAGTCAGTAAATTAATAATTTGTCAAAGGTTCAAAGGTTTTATTTTGTCTTTCTAGTTAGAAAATGTTGATATAAATTGAAACGTTGCCTCTTACTAGGTCAGGTTTTGTAGGTTTAACCAGTGTGTGGAAAACAGCTGAACATTATTTTTTTTGACCTCGTCTGGCCAGGACTCTGCAGTCTATTTACACCTACAGGCCAGTGGACACTCTTTCAATGATGAGGATGAACACATCCTGAACAGGGAGGAACGCTGGTTTGAGCGTGGACTCAAGGAGGCCATTTACGTGAAAAGGGAACGACCTCTGAATCGAGG